TTCTACGACCCTTTCTATATCGAATGCCGCGCGAACGGCGCCCTCATTGAACGAGGTTTGAACGGCCAAATCCTCCCATTTTGTTACGGTTGGACCGATATACCTGATGCTGCAGAGCTACATGTGGCTTCAAGATTTGGAATACAACGGTTTCCTTGGGATAGACCAGCGAGTTTTGAACACCAGCACATACGGGGCATACTATACGAGTGGGTTGATGGTCGGCCACTCACCGAGATCAAGATGACCTCAGACATTGCAAACCAAGCCCGTAAATTATTGAAGGCTTTGCATGACATCGAAATTTTACATCGCGGCGTCGCGGCCTCTAACTTCCTCGTTGAAGAATCAAGTCAAAAAGTCCACCTCATAGACTTGAGCGCTTCCATTACACTTCCACATATCTCAATCTCGAAGCAGGAACTTCAAGACAGACAGCAGAAAGAGAGACTGGATCTGGAGGTTGGGTTTTCATTGCTCTCAGAAAATCCTATTAACGAGGGCGTTTGCTTTGCCGATTTCTCCGGTTTCGACGAGGAGTCCAAGAAGAATAGTGTCGCTGACACCCATTTTATAAAGCACCTTTGGACTTCACCCAAACCTACTCGCTGGCAGCCCGTGCCGCCCTAGTCGCAGCCGTGGCCACTTTCAAGATCCACCAAATGTGCGCGTCCACACGGTTCCACACTACATGTCTCACGACTTTTTAAACCTAAAAAGCTAGGTTCACCCAACCAAAACTCTACTCTCATGAATGGCGACTGTTCAGCCTATACCTACTCGGATGGACGGATCATGAAAGCACTGATGCAGCTCGGAGGATCGATCGACTTGTGTGCGGTTGGGAAAAAGTATTGTTGCAGTCTGTGCTTGTCTGTGCTTGTCTGTGCTCGTCCACAAAGATCACCACCACCTCGGGGAAGTATTCTCTCATTGGAGACGGTACTTGCGTTCTATTTCCTCGTAATGCGGGGCCATCGTGATTGTTTTTCGGCCCTTCTTCTCTTACGTTCAGAGACTAGAACAGCCGCCTCATTCTCTATCTCTTTGGCACGATGGCGAATGTGCTTGCGGCTGCTATCTGGGATCCATTACAATATTGCAGCTCAAAGGAGTTGTCTCAACTCGATGAGAGATTTGATTTCGCTGCACGATGTGACTTGCCTTGTTTTTTGGACAGGCGTGCCGCCTGAGCTTGCCCGACGATGGGTAGAGGAACATGATCTGCCGACATTGACTCTCGCAATGGGTCCCTTATATAACGATCGCAATCCAGGTAGTGTGAGATATGGTAAGAAC